ACCTTGAGCCGGTGAGATTTGAACAGCCGAACTGCAGAAGTGCAGTCAGCTGAAGTAGCCTGCAGTGCTGCACTCTAACCACTGCGCCACCTCGGAGAAGGCTGGAAAGCACTGGGAAGCGGTATACAGTTCTAAGTGCTGTTACTAGTGCTATTCTGAACATTACAGCTCTATATATTCACTCCCAAACCTGGAGTCCTATTTTCAAAGGGGGGTAGTGTGATTAAATGATTGAGCCCCTATCTTTCAGGCATTTGTTTTTAATTTGAAAAAGGTGGGGGGGATTGGTTTAAGATGAGCAATGCGGAGCAAATTATTGCTTCGGTAAGTCTAGGTTTTATTTCTTTCCTATGTATCAATAAGGAAAGCCCATTGCATGGAGGCAAGGCCAGGATAAATGAAGACATCCTGCATATTGCAAATAGTAAAATATTTTAAAAAACGATGAGCCTAGCTGGACAAAAAGACACCATAAAGTGTCAATGTGCTTAGACCAATTGCATTCTTTTGCTTTGCTAGATATTCTGAATGAAAGAAACCTTGGAAATTTATTAGGGATGGGAGGTATTTCAAGCTGCTTGATACCGGTTGAGTAGGAATGTTTTGCTTCTCTTCCAAGAAGCTGAATGGATGAGAAGCAAAATGTTTTCGAGAAAAACAACCAAAAAAGTCCAGCTGCCTTTTTTATTTGACCTGGATGACTTGAGAATCGCCATAGATTTTCTTTGATCAATCAATCAATCAATCAATCAGGATAGAACTGGAAGGGACCTCGGAGGTCTTCTAGTCCAACCCCCTGCTCAAGAAGGAGGCCCTATACATGACCATTTCAGACAGATGGCTGTCCAGTCCCTTCTTAAAAACCTCCAGTGATGAAGCACCCACAACTTCTGACAGCAAGCCATTCCAACCAGAAGTGGTATTCAGCAGGTTCTGACCATTTCTGGAGAACTGGTAGTAGAAATTTTGAGTAATTTGGAGAACCGGTGTATACCATCTCTGACTGGCCCCACCCCCATCTATTCTCTGCCTCCCGAGTCCCAGCTGATCGAGAGGAAATGGGGATATGCAGTATCTTTCCCCTAGAACAGTGATGGCGAACCTATGACACGCGTGTCAGTGCTGACACGCGTAG